ATTATACATTCTTCTTATGTATGTCAATATAAAATTGAGTATGATCCAAGACTTCCTTTCCATGATACAAAGACCATACAAAGTAATTTTTTCTACACATCTCCAAACAGGTAGTAACCACTCATTAGGTAAAATACTCTTTTGTCTAGGCACAATGTTCTGTAATAACACATTAGGTCCTAGCATCCTAGCTTATACACTTGAAGCAGCAAGAGTAGGTCTGAACTCTCTGACCTTTAGACATGTTGAAAAGGATTCATATAAGTACATGTGAACTCATGACTTCCAAGATATAAAGCAAAATGCTTAATTCTTGTGGTATATCAAAAATTCAGAAATCCCAGCATGCCTAATGGCAGGACTAATGATGCCTGATCCATATCATAGTGAGATAACTGAGAAAGAAGATTAGATGTTTTTTTCAAGGATGTTTACCAAAATTAACTAGTAATGTTCCAGAAGGTGGATTCATACTGAATGACATAAAACTTGCTTAAATGAACTGAGTTGTCAATAAAGAGTTAAAAGTATACAGTCTTCGAATGTAATAGTGATTTTGGAAATTGGGCAGTAGTTTTAAAATTGGGATGTGATGGATTTTTTTTCCAAAATTATTGTATATTAATATAGAAGGTATTTTCAATGGTCCAAAGAGATACCAAAATGTAAATTGAGCAGGAATTATATGAGCAAAGGAGGTTGAAGATCTTGAGAAGCTTCAACCAAGAAGCTTCTCAAGACAGAACCAAGCTCTTGGGAAATCATGAACTTTATACCAACTGCTATGAAGCCTGTATTTCACGGATCTAGCGTAACTGTTTGTGGAAGATAGATGTGTAACTTGGTCAATTTAAGCGGTTGGGAGGGACAACAGGACTTATTTCTGGTACAAGACCTAATTTTGGGGGATAATTTCATAACTTTTGATGTCTATCTCATCTTGATATGGTAGGGTTTGTACTGCATCAGCTTAATATTCTAAGTTAAGTTGCCCCCCCACTATGGGTGGCCTATCCTTTGGGTGGAATTTGTGAGGTTGTACTGTGGGAAGGGAAACATGTGGAAGAAGAATCTGTGGCAGAACTTTTTAGAGTGTGTAAAATGATTGAAAAGTAAATAAAAAGAATGCAATTGCATAAATCCCATCTTATCAGTGATCCATTAATATTATCTCATTTAAATTAATAACCAACATTTAAAAACAGACCAGGAGAGACATTGACACATGCATATTTATACACACAGCAGTCTATCTAGAGTCTTTTTTGTCTGAACATTCTTTACTAAACAACTGTATTGTTATTTTATTAGATTAGACAAAAGTTTAACTACAATATTTGTTGCATTTGTAGTTGGCTCCTCATTTTTGGGTCCCTCAGAGACTAGCTTCATGGTTGAGGTCTCAGGGAGCCATGATTATCACTGAACCTCTGGTACATTATTGGGTCCATTCTTACACTGAGAAGCATATAACCCATTGTAAATAAACCTTGTAAAGTATTTGGATGTAGGACAACTTATGGAGTTATGCTCTTGGTAGTCACATGCACCTAGCTCATAAAACATCTCTTAAAGAGCCATTCCACTGTTTCATACTAGCATTGATCTTAGCTGAACAAAGACACTATTCAGAATCCACATTTAATTCAATTTTTTGATTGCTAAGAATCTTTTAGTTATATATTTTACTTTGTCTTATACTAATTAGTTCCCTACATCAGAATATCATTATTAGGTTGATTTATGTTTCCCACTAGACAGCTCCTGAGTAACCACAGAGAAAATTATTATTTAATGTAAACACTCAGGAAATAGCTCAGTTTATTACTAACTTACGTGTAAATATTTAAATTAATTCTCTTTCTAATATGTGCTATGCAAGGTGGATTACATCCACTTTCCACAACTTCTCATGATACTCATAATTCTCCATTTTCCTAACTACTTTTTGTCTGTTTCTTCAGTCAAAACTTATCCTATTTAAAAATTATTCTGTCAGAATATTTCTTAAATCAATCAAAATGACAAATATTCACACAATATAAAGGAATATTCTGTACCCTGTTCTTGATTAGTATGTACTCACTCCCTACTTATTACATTTTATTTATATTCTGATGTAGAAATAAAATGCCCTTTTTGCTATTTGCTTGAGAAATTTTATGATTACATTTATTCATAATAGTGTTGGTATGTATTATTTAATACGTATTTTTAGTTTAAATTATCTATGTTTATTCCTTACATTTCTCCCTTACTCAGCAGTGATTTCATCCTCAATGCTCATGTCTACAAACTGAAGAACAACCACAAGAACATGGATTTTAAACCTGCCCAGCTGATGCTTAATATCTTGCCACAAACTGGGCTGAGATCTACAGTTGCCTTCAAATATGGGATTTATACATAGGCCCATTTTTTCGTCAGGCTGCCCCTCCTACCCTGTGACATAAAGTAAGCATATAAAGCAAATAATACAATTTCAAAGAGTAAAACCACCGTGACTTTGTTTCCAAGGAGATAAAGAAAACCTAGTAAAAAGAAATATTCCAGAACTTATACTTTCTGTCTATGACTTGCAATTATTCAAAAGCCAAATCACATTTAAGTAACACTAAGTTAAATGTAAATGTAATTTTTTGCTTGTTTATATATGATTTACCTGATACCTTAAAAAGACACATCACTAACACAGGCAATTTCATTATTAATTTATTTTATTTCATTTGAACATATCATAGTAGCATTTGTATTTATATTTTTTTGTTCACACTATATCTAGACTTGGCTAGATAGTCTTCCAGAGAATGGGTTCCCTAAAATCAGAACATGCAGGATGAATCAATCCTGGTCCCACTGCTGCTGTATCCAAAGTCTGCCCCAGTCATCCAAATCTCCCTCACAATCAGAGTGCCTAGTTTGTTAGTATGCTAGTTCTCTCACTGTCAGGCCAGAGTTTCCAGGCTACCATAAGCTCAGGTAACCTTTTTCAATGGGTTTTCCCATCATGACCTTGATCTCTTCCATGTATTATTCCTACTCCCATTCTTCAACTGGACTTTAGGAACTCAGCCATGTGATCAAATGTGGATCTCTACATCTGTTTCCATAATTTACTGGATTTAGGTTCTATGATGACATTTCTGATAGTAATCAATCTGACAACAAGGCAATGGCTGTTCAAGTATACTTTCCACTATTACATAGAGTCTTAGTAGTGGTCATCCTTGTGAATTCCTCCAATTCTAAAGTTTAGCTATTCCTATAATATTTCTTTCATTGAATAGAACTTTTTCTTTGCTCTCGGTCTCGTTCCATCCCCTATCTAGACAATTTTGTTACTTCCAGTTCTTTCTACTCCATTTCTCTCTCTCTCCTTACAATCTGCATTCTTTTCCCACCATACCCATACTTTCCCGTTTTTTCATCATATTTGTCTTTTCGGCTCTACCCAGGGTTATCATTTTTTAATTTATGTTCACATTTTTACTTAGATTCTGTGAACCTTGGCTATATGTTTCCTATCCTATGCTTTATAATAACTGTTCACCTATGCTTTAGTTCAAACCATCTTCATGTTTCTGGTCTGAGTTACCTCATTTCAGAGCCCACATTTTTTTTTCTACTTGTGGTCAATGGGCATGGATTTTCTTCCATGTTATTCTGATTACATTAAACGCTTAAGGATTACAGAGGAAGAACACAGACATTTGCTCATATCTGGACATTATTATATACAATTAAGAAAATATAATTTGACATTGGTGTTTACACCAATATATATTTGGTGAGTAAAAATAGTACAATGATCTTTAGAGTGGTCAACTCTGTGGTCTGTGATTTATACCCATCTAAATTTTTATGCCTTCGTGGTTACATTGAAAGCTGAGACAGTCAGGTAGCAGTCTCAGTCAGGAATATGCTCATTTAGAAATTTGTAAACCTGCAATTCATTTTTAGAATACTGATTTTCTAATGCAACCATGCTGGTATTATACAATTTCAGGCTATTAGAGAAGTGTGGTATCAGAAAGTTTTCTGAGTATTCATAGCCAGTTAGGGTAGAATAGCACATTTCAGTCTCAGGAGGAAACTTATCTCAATTACACAAGTTTAAATAAATATCTGCATCAAACCTCTATTTGATTATTATGTTAGCACTTTTGCCCCAATCAATTTCAAAAAACTGGAACTAAATGCATAATTCTTGTAGTATATACAGTACTCAAAAGCACAATATGCATAGAGGAAAGACAATGAAGCCAAACCCTTATTAGCGCAGTTATTTGTAGTATTGAGCTAACTGACTAAGAAATTTAGAATTATTATCAGCATAGCTTGCCATGTGAGGAAATCACATACCAATAGATAGTTTCTAAACAATTGTCCTACATCTTCCTGATATGAATTTTGAATACATTAAAGAAAGAAAAATTTGTTTAGATTTAATAGTGATGATAACATTTTGAGAGAAATTCTAGTATTTGGAATCTATTGGATGTTTCAAACAAATGCTTATAAAATTATATTAAGGGAATATTTTATATATATATATATTCATTACATATGGTAAGAAACACTATGAAAGTTGCTTCTTAAAAAGGGGGGTGAAAATATATATAAGGACTTTAAACAGTCAAACATAAATGTTAAGAATATAAATAAATTTAAATTACTTCCCATTAATGAATTAATTTGAATTCATTTTTTAATCATTAAGACACAGTGGCATATATTATTACAGTCAGGTCTATTTAAAATGGGACATGAAATCAACATTTCTACCTACAATCCATCCATCTCCTTATACAACATTTTTATGAAATTACATATATTATGTATTGTAATTTAACTACATAAATCATTGTAATCATATATTATACTTAGATATAACACATATTACATGTATATATATATAACATAATTAATTATAATTCAATCGCATAAATAAATACACATAAAAACAGACAAAAACAAATCACAAAGAATCAGAAGCCAAAAGCACTTGACAGCAAAAAGTCACAATAAAAAAACCAAACATAGAAATGGAGGCTTTCGTGTATACAGCTAGAATCTAGGCAAAAGCAGCTGCATTGTTGCTGTGGCAACCAGTCATAATGAGCCAGGTTTGGTTGTTGTTAACTGGAGACAAATGAAAGGGTAAATTACATTTTATCCTGTGTTCCCCTTTAAATGGCTCTGCTACTTTTTACAACAAATAGGGAGGAGGGAGACACAGATGAATTATCGGCTCTGGATGAGATCACCATGGTAAATTCAGTCCTGCACTTACTGGTCCTTGGTTTGAGATCTCTCTTCTTATTGGTTCATAGATGACATAAAAAGGTCTGCACTGAGGGATTTTGCCAGCCAGGCTCCTGGCTAAAATCCAGCTTTTAGCTGGAATTTAGTCAGGAGATTGGCGATAAACAAACTTAGAGATCAAAATCTGTTCCAGAGACCTGCAGGAGACAGAGACCATAGATACCTAGTAAAAGCAAAAATTTCTGAGATTTTCCCATGCTTCTGCTAAGAGTCACCTGTTCCTGTTTGCAGTATAGGAAATGTGCTTCAGTCTATGTAGCCACTGCTTCAGCCTTAATATCTGTGATTTCTTGATAAGTCTTTGATTATGCATTTTCTGTAATCAAATTTTACTTTGGGAGTCAATACCTGATAGAAACCGTGAATGTACTGATCTTACACACCACACCTGTTCCCATATCCACCCTTCCTCCATCTCAACCATTCCAATCCCCCAAACTCTCCCCAATTCTCCCCTTCTTTCTTCTCATCCTCCATTCTCCCCGCGCCACGCCCATCCCCATGCTTCCAACTTAAACAAATGTAGAACTATATACAATAAGAACGGATATGAAGTATAAAAATTACAGTTACCAGAGAAATCCTGTCATGAAAAACCAAAAAAATAGATTTATACCTATCATAAATAATATCAAGTTAAAAATGTATTCTAAATATTTCAATAAATATTCTATCTTAAGTAGTCTAAGACTTATATTAGTAATGGCTTGGTCAAGTCATGAGGGAATGGAATTATGACTACATAGTTATCAACACCATTAAAAACTTCAGAGGAAAATAATATTACTTTAGTAAACATGAGGGACAAAGAAGCAACTTTCAAATGTGCAATAAATGACAGAGGCAAGGAGAGCTAATAATATCATCAGCATAGCGGGTCCTTCCTAGTCAGGTTCTCACTATATGACAGCTCTCAACTGCAAATATTTATAACTGAAATCCGAATCTACAAAGGCCCAGAAATGGCATACTTCTCTTGACAATTATATGAGACTAATCCCAGGGTAATTAGCATTCAGGTACTGGTATATTCCCAGTATTGCAGTTCAGATTTCACCTGTTATGGTCTGTGCATCATGTCTGTCCCATCGTCTAAATTCTCTTCTTCTCTTTAAACTTTTGTCTTGAAGACTGCAGTATCTGCAAAGAAACAATTCCCTCAAGGTTTTAGTATATGACAGCATCCAGAGGAGTCATGTCCTTTCCTGTGGAAGTTACTAGAAAACAATGGTGACAAGATTTGAATGGATCCTTATTGATTGCAGAAAAAATTCTTGAAAGAATCAAGGCATTTGTATGGATGCTAATGTGGCAGGACTTAAAGACAGCTAGGAAGTTCATGGAAGGAATGCATCATAAAGCAATCTAGGGGAAGCCAATTTTATGACCTGTGTGGGTAAATATCTATTGCAACTTTACACTATGCTGCCAAATTTAGCATGAACAACCTAGGAATAACCACATTCCTTATTCTGCTGTATGAAACAACCAAAAGCTGAAGAACTGAAATTTTGTACAGTTAGGACCTATATAGAAAATAGGTATGTATTCAAGCAGTAGAGTTCTAAAGTCATCCCCGTTGTGGATTGATTATTTTAAATGTAGAAAATGTAGTACATTCATGTCTCATCTGAATACACAGGTTTATGGCATAGCTGTAGGTATTCTCAAGGTTATTCTTTGTACTAATATAACAATTATCTAAGATCTAAAAATCCAAACTACATAGAAAACTTTGATGTAAGCTGAGTAATCTAAGCATCACCTGCATATGTAATTAAAGGAAGAGGAGAGCAGCCACATCCAAATCTATCAATTCATGCATTGATGGTGGAAATAAGGTGTTCCAATGATGAGATCTAGGTGATGGATGTTGTTAAACTCAGGGAAAATTAATTTGAATTTTGCATGTCCTATCAAATGGAACATCATTTTTTCATTCGCATATAACACTTATATGTCAGAGATATAAATGGTAACAATACATCAGAACTACACATCCTCCAGAAGACCATGCCTATATAAAACTTAGTTTGTAATTAGCTTTGAATATTCTCACACTTTCTCAGAACAGGTGACAATGAAATTCATTCTCTTAATTCTAGAGTTTTGAAAGTTGCACACAATTAAATTTCTGCTAACTTAGGTAATATCATCTCCTTTTGGAGAGACTGATGAAGCTGAAGAGTAAGTAGTTATAATTATAATTTTCCTTGGTAATATTAAAATATAAAATAGATATATATATCATAACTGTTTTTTTATTAGATAACTGTTTCGTTATATACAATTATAGTAGGAAGAGTCACTGAGAAGTCATGAAGCTGCTGCCAGAAACAGAAGCCTTTCCTGGAGCCTGCTGAAATTTACCAGTAAGCCAGTAAGTCATGACCTCATGGTGGTCTACTGATTAGTAGAGATGGGTTAGTTTAGGATATGAGAGCTAGCTAGCAGTAGTCTTAATTTATTGGCCAGACAGTATATAAATAATATGGTTTCTGATTGGTTATTTCACGTCAGGGCATTAGGATTCAAGTCATCAGCTTCTGCCAACAGATCTACTCCTTATGATATGCTGTTTTCAAATAAGATATTTTTTGGGGGATATAAATTGAATCTACACATGACATGAAGTATTTTTTAGTCAAAGAATAATGGTAAGTAGTATGTATTAATAAGGTGTAATTGCAAGAAACACTGCAAATTTTAATTCTGTGAACAAATGTGCATGAGTAATATTGTTGTAAAATGATGTTTTATGGCAAAAAAGCTAATGTTTAACACTCTAGTGCATATTAACCTGCATGCTTACTCTCAACCTTACAATGCTCTTGTTTTCTCATGAAAACATCGTTTGTTAGAATATTTATTTTATCTTTTTTATGTTATGATCATACTTCAAATTTTGGAATTTTCCATACCAAGTTATTTTTGTATTCCCCCATTTTTTTCTTTCTCTACGTTTTATAGCTGTCTGATTATTTTAAAATCAAGCACTCCAAAACAAAGACACAAATCTCTTCTGAAACATAAGTGATGATGATAGAATATCTATGCTCTAACCCAGGGTGAAGACACTCCTATGATGTTTAACATTTTTTATGCTCATCTGGTTAACAGTGGACATGTGATCTCTAAAAAGATGCCTGATTCCATGATGCTGGCTTCTTTAAAGGGGAGTCAAGTTCTAACAAAAAGCAGCTATATCTAAGAAAGAGCATTTTGCAAATTGCAATGCAGGAGGTGAAGACTTTGAAATTAGTGAATTATTTGTAGATTGAGGAATATGCATCCATATCCAAAAATGTGTGCATAAATTCGGGCAGAAAATGTTTTTCATAATACATAAAAACCTCCAGCCATGTTAAGCTAATGAAACCTTAACTATTTTACAAAGAATAATATTATGAGTTTGAAATGGATATCTATAGAAAGAAGCAATTTTAGTTAAATGGTTTCACCCTTAGATGAAGACTGATTTTGAGAAAAAAAGGAGAAACTTTCACCTAGTTAAGCGAATAAACATCAGTTTACTTACAATGAAATCATAACCCTGATGAAGCTCACCATTTCTCAGAATGGTGTCAAAGTTCTTTTGAGAATCACAGAATTCCTAAGGTGTAATAATCACAGGCTATGCCTGACTGAGAGGAGTAAGAAACATGCCCACTGTCAATGACACAACAAAGTAGAGTAAAGCAAAGGTTGAGAGGTAGTAATTTGAAATTTTTATAAATTTTTTCAATATTTCTTCACACAGCTAATCATTATTAATATTGGTTCGTAAAAAAGTAATTTAATTTAAATTTACAAGACATAATTGCTTTCTATTTTT